TATTGTTATTTTGTTTTGAAAAAACTCATGTTTTATTTTCTTGTAAATTTTGCATTTGATCATGATTTACGTTTATGAATGTGAATTCTTTACTCTTATGTTAGTGGAACCATTGTTTTAATTTAAAATATTTTATTTACTCTGAGAATATGATTTTATAACTATTATATATGTATATTGGGGTAGAAGGTGTCACATTCTTGATACTTCTGACAATCAATTTTTTTTTTTTGGTTCGTCCCTGGAGTATCCACCGCTGACAGCAGTGACTAATCTCCTCGCTACGTTGGAGGCACCTCAAAGGATGGGATAGCTGGCCCCAAGATTTAACGCGGCTGCATACACAAGGCAGGATTCGAACCCCTGACCTTGCTTAAGCGTGGATCAACTCCTACCGTTGAACCACACGCTTGGGGTTTCTGACAATCAATTTGGGACCATAACCCAACTCACCTGCATTAAAATTAACCTAATTAATTTTCTAATTGTTAGAAACTAAGCTTTTTAATAATACAACCTATTTGGATAAAATTTTCTACAAGAACTAAAAATTGGAAGGAAAATGAAATAAGCTTCACAAAATATAATTACCTTATTCATAAGTTAATTGGTAAAAACTTTCTAAATTAACTTATCCAAAATCTTAATTTTAACTTAGGTAAAAGCTTTCTCCAAAATCATATTTATAAGCTAGCAAGTTTTAACTTATAAAAAGCTTATTTAGATTTTCCTTCTTATTTTTCTATGCCATAGAAGTGCTTCTAGAAAAGTATATCCAAACAGAATTATATTAATCAATGAATTAAAAACAACAACTGCTACAACCTTTTACAAATTTACTACTACTAACACGAACCCCACTACCTATTTGTAGAACACAATCTCATCTCAACAAGAGAACAGAAGCAAAAAAGTAGTAGAAAAATCTCATAACAAATTAGCAGTAATAATAGTACTTCATGTGGAGAAATGCGAAGTTCAACTTCCTTAGATTATGAAGAAGAATGAGAAGAGAGGATGAAACAGTAACAAGCATTGGGGGAACAACTGTGGTTGATTCAAGAGAATGTGTAGTCAAAGACCGCGATTTTGAGGATGCGCCCTTCTCTATCTTGCACCTCCATGCGTTTGTTAGAATGAAGCAAAGCGTAATCGTCGCCTCCTCCAAAACGGCGTCATAGGTGACATTGGAGCAGGCCATGGTGCTGGCCCTAACCTTGATTTTCTCGAAAACATCATCGTCTTGGTGAGTTGTGAGGGTGTGGTAGTTGGAGAGGAGGGTGGGGGGGGAGGAGAGCGCAACGATGCAGGGAGAGGAGCAGAAGAAAAGAGAATTGGGATTGGGAGAGAAACAAGCAAAGTAGTGAGTGAAAAGATGGCACTACAAAAAAAAGTCAATTTAGCCACCGAAATTTACGACGGAATTAGCGACCGAATAAAATTTGGTTGCAAATTTTATTTAGCGACCAATTTAGCGACCGAACTTTTAGTGGCAAATAATCGATCGCTAAATCGGTCGCTAAAATTATAATTATTGATTAAAATAGCGACGGAACGGTTTCGGTCGCTAAAAAAATAAAAATATAATTATTTATAATAATTTTAGCGACCAAATTAAAATCGGTCGCGAAAATTATTATAAATAATTATATTTTTATTTTGTTAGCGACCGATTTTAATTCGGTCGCTAAAAAAATAAAAATATAATTATTTATAATAATTTTAGCGACCAATTTAAAATCGGTCGCGAAAATTATTATAAATAATTATATTTTTATTT